GAAAGTCACCGCTGCTATGGCCGTTTCCCATCTGTACCTTAAGTTTACAACTTCCGAGTACAGAGTACAATAAATAAATTTAACAACATCGAAGCTATGACGATTTTTCTATGAATTTTCCATATTTTCGACTTTTGTTCATATGACAGCTAACGGGTGTTTTTTTTAGAGGTATAGAACTTTAAGTTGCAATAAAACAACGATGGATATTTCGATTGACATGCATTTTTTTTTATTCGAAAGATAATCTTGTGGCAATTCATTTTGTATATGCAGTCTGGCATATGACCGCCACGGCTGGCTCGGATGTAGTCCAATCTGGACCTCCAATTTTCGATGATTTTCCCAACATTTGCGGCCGTATATCGGCAATAACACGGCGAATGTTGTCTTTTAAATGGTCAAGCGTTTGTGGCTTATCCGCATAGACCAATGACTTTACATAGCCCCCCAGAAAGTAGTCTAGCGGTGTTAAATCACAAGATCTTGGAGGCCAATTCACAGGTCCAAAACGTGAAATTAGGCGGTCACCAAACGTGTCTTTTAATAAATCGATCGAAATCCGAGCCAGCCGTGGCGGTTATATGCCAGAAATCATATATAAAATGAATTGCCACAAGATTATCTTTCGAATAAAAAAAAATGGATGTCAATCGAATAATCCATCGTTGTTTTATCGCAACTTAAAGTTCTATACCTCTAAAAAAAAACACCCGATATATGATAAGTTGTCCGATTTTGATAAAATGTATAAAAAACGCGAAACTTGTGATTTGCAGGTGTTTATTCTTTAGGCGTGTTCAGGCCTCTCCCGCTCTCCCTCTCCCGGAGCTTCTCCCCACACCGCACTCTCCCTCTCCCGAAGCTTGGAGCATGTCGCGCTCGGCCGTCCAGGCTCTCCACTCCCCGAGCGCGAGAAGTCTCCGCTGCGCCTCCAAGCACCTAGCTTAGAATAGCTTAAGTTAGTTCCAAAACGTCATACGCTTGAATAAACGCCCGGCTGGTCCGCGCTATCACCCGACATCCAAGTCTTTCTTTCTTTCGCGATCGCCGAGTGTGGTTTTTTCTCGACACCACAGCCTACCCCGCCAGCCGTCGCTGATACCAGGAGTTTGCTGCCTTCAAGAAGGACGCCCCGCCACTTCATTTTTTGGTCCTTCGAGCCAGTTCGATCAGCGCCCGAAATTGCTCAAGATAAGTACGAAGATCTACATATATTAATTTGCCGGTCTGCAGTCAGCCACTCGAAAACACTGTTTCGTTTGACTTTCTGCATGATTTTTTCTAAAAATCCAAGTCCGATTTAATCCGAAAACGGCAATTATTAAGATCTCTTCCATTTTCCGTTTTTCTTTGATCGTGCCGCCATATTCCTCCAATTCCTCTTTGGCCCGTACATCAAAGTGAAACCGTACACATATGTATGTACATACAAGTATACATACATCAAATGAGCAAAATTCCAAACTTTAATAAAGAGCAAAAATTGCAAACTTTAAGGGGGAAATACAATTAGAAGGCCTGAAATGAGGGCTATCTTTGGGAGTGGATTGCAAGTAGGGTATTAAATGAATCTTAGCGATTCTTTTTGCATGCTATTAGGTAGTTATTGAGCAATAAAAATCAGTCAAATTTTTTGAAAAATATTGTAATTAAGTCCATTTATGATCAATTATGTGGAGTCGTGTTTTTAGGGAGGGACTTTGCGCCGTGCAGTCTCCAGGTCCAGTATCACGACTTAAACAAAAAACAGCAACTGGGCTTTAAACTTAAAGGTACAGCGCACACCATGAATTATTCCATATTTGAAAAAAATTATTTTTCCATTAAAAAATTTGAAGTTAAAAAAAAATTTCAAAAAAAACGTTTTTTTTTCGACTTTGTTTGTAAAAAAAACATGTTTTAACCAACAAATATGAAAAACGGTTATATTCATGGTGTGGAGAATTTAATTTCAAACATAACGCAAAAAACCGCATTCGATTAAAATAAAATCTCTGACCTGTACATTGCACGGCGACTTTGAAAACACGACTTTTCAGGAAAAGCGTTTAAAGTTTACTTATGTGCATGTCCGCCATATGACACACCCTCACTAAATTGCGTATAACTTTGAAAATAAGTACCGGACGGCTTTATGCTTTTAAAGGCTTATTCCCAGACATATTTAGAGTACATTAACCCAAAAAAAATTTTCGAAAAAAAAAATTTCTAATTGTATTTCCCCCCTTAATAAAAAGTGAAAATTCCGAAATTGAATAAAAGTGAAAAATCCAAAATTTAACGACAAGTGTAAAGTGTGCAAAATATTCGAAGTGAACAGTGAAGAAATAATTTCTGTGAAAAAATTCTAAGTGTTCTGCCGAAAAAGGGCCCCCAATTTCAAAGTGTTTTTTTTTTTTCACTGCAGTCCTACGCTAAATATTTTGCACACCTTTTCTTGCAATACAGTCCACTTAATTAAAATCGAAAGCTCGACACATACCCGCCGGCAATATTTTGTAATAAATTTTCCGCCACAAAAATACATACATACATAGTTATCCAAATATATTCCATATACATCATACATATTTTCTACTTCCTACAGCGAAAATATACCAACATTAAAAGTTTTCCGTCGGCCTCCGTGTAGCATAAAATAAATAATTACAATCACCACCGACTAGGAAAACTTTGTTGGTTTCAGTGTGTTTTTTTATTTTTTCATTTCCAACATTTTTTGCGTGAGCGCGAATTGCACAAACGCACATACATAAATATATCTCCAAATATATTCCATATATCCATACATATTTTCTACTTCCTACAGCGAAAATATACCAACATTAAGAGTTTTCCGTCGGCCTCCGTGTAGAATAAAATAAATAATTACAATCCACCACCGACTCGGAAAACTTTGTTGGTTGCAGTGTGTTTTATTTCTAACATTTTTTGGCGTGAGCGCGAACTGCACAAACGCACATATATACATATATACACTTATATCCAAATCCAGCATACCAATATACACCCTGCAGTTCCAAAAGTGCCTTGTCGTGGATGACATGGACGACTACCCACTGATGTCAGTGTCCGAAGCACATGGATCCGCACTGATGTCATTTCATATAAAGTTGTTGTATGGCATTTAAGGATTTGACATGCATGTCGCTCTCGATGACCATTTTGTCCGAGTCATCGAGCGAGGCATCGATGGCTTATACGAATTTTGTATAGAGAAAATTCGTATAAGCTATTGATGCTTTCGTTGCTGGCGTGGAGGCGTTGTTGTCATCTATGCCAATGTCTAAAATGTCATCCCCAAATTCATATGAAAAACAATATATATGTATATATTTATTTTTTTTTTTATTTTATTAATTAATCTTATTTTGAAACATAAGAGATAAGTACATAAATAATATGAAATTAGAAAGTTTTTGTTTACCATTTATGTGGAATATTTACAGGACAACGGCTGCTTTGCGTCCATCTATGGTACAAAAAATATTTTTATTATTACTTATTATATATGTATTACTTTTTTTATTTAAAGCAAACTTACCTTTCAAACGAATTTATCGTACAGACAGGCTGAATCCTAAAAAGATTTAAATAAGTTTGTAGTAAAAGACATAATATTTTTGTAATCTTAACGACACTTACATGATTTTTAAACAATTCCGCTGCCCGTTGCGCAAATTAAGTAATTTCACAACTAACTGTCAACGCACAACGCAGAAGAATGAGCAGTTCAATTTTATTTTGCACCCTTTTAGTATACCCTTCTTTTTTGGGTATAGCCGACCATAAATGACACGCGAGTTATATTATATCTATATTTGCAATCAATGTTATGTTATGGTTATCTTGGTTCAATAATTTAAATAATGTTGTATATATAAAATATATTATATATGTATATAACTTTATATATATATTATATTATATTTATATTATATAATATTTTAAGAACTTTAACATCAAAAGAGTATACATAAGTCGAGCGCCCCTTAGCCGTATTTTCCTTCGAAAACCAATTTTTTGTTTCTAACGGAGAATGACAACAGTGCAATTAGAAAAACGAAAGAATAGAAGACAAATTTGGAGTCGGGCCGCCGTCGGGTGGAAGCAACGAGATCGTATTCGAAGAGTGAGAAAGAGGGGGAAACATAGGAATATCCCTTTTCCTTTCCTACACGTTGATTGCTTGTATGCCAAAAGACACTAGGTGACAGCCAGAACTGCAGGGCACATATACACCCATACCCATTAGGGAGCCGTTGCACGACATCCAGTGCAAGGTCTTAAACATATAAAATTTTTCCAAAGACAAAATAAATTATTTCTGAGCTGCAATAAATAAATTCCAACTCCAATAACAACACATAATTAATATTCCAGTCAAATTAAAATTAAAAATACCAAAATAATTGGAAATTAATTTTTTTATTATTTGATTTGTTTTTCTTTTGTCCAGCAACATACAATAATTTAAAAAAAAAAATTTATTTCTTTGTCTGGTTCCAAAAAATTTAAGTGTGAACGTCACTCCGTACGGCACACCGTTTGTTGATAGCTCAGAAATTAAATATTTGCAAATAAATTATTTTGGATAAATAATTAACTTCCATTCTTCGAATAAACTACCCGTTTTTTTGGTTTTTTTGTCTTTACCACAGTTGGTATTATTTTCTAAAATAAAGTAAATAAATACCACACAAAATAATAATCACATATCCGTATTATAAATATAATAATTATAATATTCTTAATAACATTAAGGATAAATATTATTTAATTATTCTGGTTTTTTTTTCGCTCCTGTGCATATTAAACATACCCCGTTCCAACGCATTTTATTCCGAAACAGCGAGGGGTACATTCGAGATTTTGAGTTAAAGACGGTAACTTTCGGGATTAATTGTGCGCCCTTCCTGGCGATACGAGTCCTACAACAGCTGGCGACTGACGTGCAGCTCAGCCATCCAAGAGCGAGCAAAGTCATTCGTAATGCAATGTATGTAGACGATGTCCTTTCGGGAGCTGACTCTGCTGAAGATGCTCAGCTCACAATAAAGGAGTTACAGAGTGCCCTAGACTCTGCGGGCTTTCCGTTAAGAAAATGGACGTCCAACAACAAAGAGGTGTTAGCTCATATCCAAGCCGGTCATCTTCTGAACAGTGATTTCCTTGATCTCGACACTGAGAGTACAGCCAAGACTCTCGGTGTACGGTGGAGAGCGACGTCCGATGAGTTTTTCTTCGTCCCCCCAGATCTACCCACAGAAATCTCCCCCACAAAACGCCAGGTGCTTTCCCAAATTGCCAAACTGTTTGATCCAGCAGGCTGGCTCGCTCCATTTGTTGTGTGTGCCAAGATCTTTATGCAAGAGATTTGGCTTCAGGAGCTGGGGTGGGACGATAAGCTGCCATCTGAGTTGTGCCAAAGGTGGCACAGTTTTCTTCAGAGCTATTCGGTCCTTGATCAGGTCCGGATTCCAAGATGGGTTTCCTTTCGCCCAGAATTCCGCTTAGAGCATCATGGATTTTGTGATGCCTCGCAGAAAGCCTACGGCGCTGCGATCTACGTGCGCGTAGAGATGGGACATACCACGATGGTACACCTGCTCACCGCCAAGACGCGTGTTGCGCCAGTCAAAACTGTGTCGCTTCCTCGCCTAGAGCTGTGCGGAGCTTTACTGCTAGCCGAAATGGCTGAAGCGATCCTTCCCAGCATGCCGATGCTGAATTCGAGTCTCCACTGCTGGACCGATTCCACCATTGTGTTGGCATGGTTAGCAAAACCAGCTTGCCATTGGACTACTTTCGTTGCCAACAGAGTGACGAAGATCACTCAGTCCACAGAGGCAGCCAACTGGTCACACGTTCAATCCGAACATAATCCCGCTGACTTGGCTAGTCGAGGGGTAGCCCTTCCAGAGCTTGTCGGTAGTTCTCTCTGGTGGCACCCACTTGGTTGCAAAAGCCACGCAGCCAATGGCCTAGCCAGGGGACCGACCTTCCCGTGACCGAGATCGAAAAGCGAGCAGTCAAAGCCCACGTAGCATATATTCCGAACGAAGACTTCCTTGATCGTTTTTCCAAATTGGATAGAGCGTTGCGGGTCCTCGCGTATGTCCAGCGTTTTATCAATCGGTGCAAGAAACAATCGCCGCTTTCAGAGATCCGTCTGGAGGCCAAGGAACTTGTCGCCGCCGAACGGCTCATGATTCTCTGCACTCAGCGCAGGTATTTAACGAACGAGTATCGCTGTTTGAGTCAGAAGCTTCCGGTGCCCCCTTCCAGTTCGATCCTCTTCTTAAACCCTTTCCTAGATCAGGAGGGGCTGATAAGGGCATGTGGCCGTGTCACAGCCTCTGAAAGTTTGCGTTACGATGAACGACATCCGATAATCCTCCCGTACGAATGTTCACTCTCTCGGCTTCTGGTAAAGTTCACCCATCTCATTACGCTACACGGGGGTAATCAGTTGGTGGTACGTCTCACCCGTTCCAGATATTGGGTTCCGAGAGTTAAAAACTTGGTGAAGGCAGTTATCAATGCCTGCAAGGTCTGCGTGATCTACAAAAAGCGATTGCAAAGTCAGATGATGGGAAATTTGCCAAGAGAACGAGTGTCATTCTCCCGTCCATTCACGTACACGGGTATGGACTACGCAGGGCCCTTCGACATAAAGAAATACACTGGCAGAGCCTGCCTTATTACTAAAGGGTATGTGTTGGTTTTCGTTTGCTTCTCCACCAAGGCTATCCATTTGGAGCCTACTTCAGATCTGACGACCGATCTGCGGCATTCGCTCGGTTCGTATCCAGAAGAGGGTGTCCTCGCCAAGTGCAGTCGGACAATGGGAAGACCTTTGTTGGCGCTGCCACATTACTGTCCCGAGATTTTCTCCAGGCCGTTAAAGAGTCTGTGACTGATGCGTATAGTCATCAGCAGCTCGACTGGCATTTCATTCCGCCAGGAGCACCCCATATGGGAGGCCTATGGGAAGCTGGTGTCAAGAGCTTCAAGGCATTGTTTTATAAATGCACAGCTACGCGGAAATACACCTTTGAAGAACTTGCCACTCTGCTAGCGAAGATTGAAGCTTGTCTAAATTCCAGACCGCTATCTCCCATGTCAGAGGATCCCACTGATCTTCTAGCGTTGACACCAGGGCACTTTCTTGTCGGCGGCCCTCTTCTATCCATAGTGGAGCCCGAAGTAAAGAGAGAATACAAAGACCATATTAAACCGGTGGCAACACTTGAAAGCGCTCCATCAGCAATTCCGCGCTCGATGGAAGGATGAATACCTGAAAGTGTCCCACCGAGAATATGCGTGTCGGGGACATGGTCGTTGTTGTAGTGGGGCGGACTTCCTTCTGGATGTGGGCACTCGAAGATGAAAAAAGAATATTTCTCGCGCCGCGGTAAATATAAAGACGAAGGTTCGAATTCGGAGAAATGCACTTTATTGCCGTAGGTTAGTTTTTACACTGGTTTGATGTAATTCCAGGAGAGGGCGGCAGAGCGGTGTGGAGACAATTAGCAGACCAAGAGAGCGAGATGAGAGATCATCTGGAGAGAACTGCTCTCTGGTCTGTTAATTGTTACACTGCCATAAAGAAGTGTCCCGTCTTGGCGCGGACATTCTCCCCCCCTGGCGAAGGCGAAAGACTCGCGAGTGGCATCAGGATAGTCGGCACGCTCCTGACACGATCCACCCAAACACCGTGCACTGAGCGACGGGCAGACTGTCCTCGAGTTTTAGGAACCCTGGCTGGATGATCTTCGTGTATAAGTCGGACCCCAATACCAGGGAGACAGTCGCCGGACGATGAAACTGGTCATCGGCAAGACGAATGTCGTCATACCTCGACCGAACCTCGTCGCTCAATGCCCGTCGTGGCGTGCGGACCCGCGTGCCGGCGGACACCTTTAGGACCGCATTGGTGGCGAAATCGCAAGTACGGGACCGGATGGTCACCGCACACACGCGTTCGTCGCCCAAATTGGTCGTGGCGAGTCGGAATGCCGCGGCCAGTGAGCTGTCGATCGAGCTCATTGCGGTGCAAGTGTCGATGAGCGCACCGACCTCGTACTTCGTAGTGCCAGTGTCCAGCACCACTATTGCCGTTGGCAATATATGCAGCAACGGAGCCACGGAAACCACGGATGGCGTGGCAGGCTGCGTAGATCGCACGGGACTCCTGCGTCGTCCTGCCGATGGATGGGCCCTGGAAACCGACGATCTTGGCGATGATAATGGCGACGGAGATGGTGATGGCGACGGCGATGGTGATGGCGAAGGCGATGGAGACGGACGTGGTGATGGGCGTCGCACCACTGGCTGCTCACGGAAGTGGAGCAGAGTGTGGTGGTTCTGTCCACATTTTTTGCACTTGTCCCCGCTGCGGCAAGCCCCCTCCGAGTGCTGGTGCGCTAGGCAATTCGAGCAGTACTTGTTAATCAGAACTGCTCGAAGCCTCTTCTCGGAGGACAACCTCAGGAAACGGTTGCATTTCCGAAGAGGATGAATCCCCTTACAGACTCGGCATCGGTAGGACTGTGTACCTCGGGATCGTCTGTTTTCGAGGGCTTGCGCAGAGCGGGGAGTTGGACGAGGAGCCATTGTGGATGCTGACACGATATGATGCTAGGCACATGAAAAAAAAAGGAATAGAATAATGGAAGATTAAATAAGAATTAACCGTTGTCAGCTTATGAAATACGTTGTAAGCGCGCGGAATGGTTAGCGACTACGTGAGCTATTGACTGGGCTGCGGAACAATTTGAGCCCCTGTCGGAAGGAGCACAACTTTGTGAACTGGGCGTTTAATAGTGCCCCGCGAAGTAAGCACGTCGATGACGCGAACCCGGCTATCGGCTCCCGGATAGACCGACACGACTCTGCCGAGTCGCCAATCGTTGGATGGTATGTTGTCCTCTTTGACAACCACCATATCGCCAACTTGGATGTTCCGGTCTGGAGCTTGCCATTTGTTGCGCTTATGGAGTTCTTTCAGGTACTCCTCTTTCCATCGCACAGTAAATTGCTGATGCTGGGCCTTGAGATGTTGCCATCGATTTATTATCGACTTAGCTTCCCCTTTGATTTCGGGCTCAGCTGTGGAGAGCAACGGACCCCCAATCAGGAAATGGCCTGGCGTTAATGCGAGCAAGTCGGAGGGATCCTCGGACATTGGAGAGAGAGGCCGGGAGTTAAGGCATGCTTCAACCTTAGAAAGTAGCGTCGAAAGCTCTTCGAATGTGTATTTTCGACTGGACGTGGCTTTGTAAAAAAGTGTTTTGAAACTCTTCACACCCGCTTCCCACAAGCCGCCCATATGCGGTGCGCCTGGCGGAATGAAACGCCACAGAAGCCCTTGATAGCCGTATGTACCCATCGCAGACTCCTTGACCGCTTGCAGGAAATCACGGGATAGCAAAGTTGCTGCTCCCACGAAGGTTTTGCCGTTGTCTGAATAGACCCGCTGGGGACAACCTCGTCTGGCCACAAACCGGGCGAATGCCGCAAGGAACTTCTCTGTTGTTAAGTCAGAAGTTGGTTCCAAGTGGATGGCCTTAGTTGAGAAGCACACAAAAACGCAGACGTACCCCTTCGTAATGAGGCACGCTCTTCCTGTGTAATTTTTAATCTCAAACGGGCCTGCGTAATCAATGCCGGTGTAGGTAAAAGGCCTCGAGAAGGAGACGCGGTCTGTCGGAAGATCGCCCATCAGTTGCGACTGCAGCCTTTTCTTGAAGATGATGCACACCTTGCAAGAGCTCCCTACCGCCTTTACTAGATTTTTGAGCTTTGGAACCCAATACTTCGCTCGGATTAGGCGTATCATCAACTGATTGCCGCCATGGAGCGAAATCTGGTGGATGAACTCGACTAAGAGACGAGACAGCCGACAACTGTAAGGCAGGATGATAGGGTGACGCTCATCATACTTCAGGACCTTTGAGGCTGAGAGGCGGCCACTAGCTCTTAACATGCCTTGTTGGTCTATGAACGGAAAGAGGTTCTTTATTGGACTTGAACCCGACAACGGACGTTTGCTGTTTAAGGAATTAAGCTCTTGGCCATATTCCTCGCGCTGAGCTAGCGCAACAAGCACTTCTTCAGCATGCCGAATCTCGACGTTTGTAGGAGGGCCCTCTGGTCCCTTGGGACCTTTACGGCAACGAGTCGGAAAACGGAGCACATACACCAGGACCCGTAGGGCTTTGTCGAGCTTGGAAAAACGAGTAAGGAAATTTTCTGAAGCTGCTTTAGCGAAATTGGTCTTAACCACGCGCTGCTCTAACTCAGTGGATGGATTTAGGACGGACACTGCTGGCCACTGGTCTCTCGGTCTTTGTAACCACTCAGGACCATGCCACCAGAGTTGACTTCCAACCAGGTCGCTCAAAGGAACGCCACGACTGGCTAAGTCAGCAGCATTTTGCTCGGATCGAACGTGCGACCAATTCTCGGCAGCTGTCGCTTGGAGTATCTTGGCAACTCTGTTGGCCACGAATGTGGTCCAACAGCAGGCGGGCTTTTGCAACCATGCGAGGACGATCGTGGAATCGGTCCAACAGAAAAGCTTGGAAGGACCCGTCGGCATGTTAGGAAGGATTGCTGCCGCCATTTCGGACAGCAGCAGGGCACCACACAGCTCAAGTCGGGGAAGGGACACGGTTTTTACCGGGGCGACTCGTGTCTTGGCCGCAAGGAGATGCGCCATTATTTTATCGCCCACCTCAACTCTCACATATATGGCTGCCCCATACGCCTTTTGGGAAGCGTCGCAAAACCCGTGATGCTCGATTCTCACATCGGAATTGTAGCCAATCCATCGCGGTATGCGGATCTTGTTAAGATCGGAATAGCTGCGCAAAAACTCTTGCCACCTTTGGCTCATCTCGTTGGGAAGCTTTTCATCCCAACCCAATTCTTGCAGCCAAATCTCCTGCATGAATATTTTGGAACGCACTATGAATGGCGCCAGCCAACCTGCGGGGTCGAATAGTTTGGCGATCTGGGAGAGAACTTCCCGCTTCGTGTATGACGATTCTATACCGATCACCGGCGGTACAAAGAAGAACTCGTCGGACGTAGCTTCCCATCGAATTCCAAGCGTCTTGGCGGAGCTGTCAGCATCGATTTCAAGGAAGCCATCGTGGAGACGATGCGCGCTAGGAATGTCTTTGAGAACCTCTTTATGGTTCGATGTCCACTTTCTTAAGGGAAATCCTGCGGAATTGAGAGCGTCCTGAAGCTCTCGAATGGCTCGCCTGGTCTCTTGAATGGAATTTGCCCCTGCTAGGACATCGTCTACGTACATGTGCTGCCGAATAATATGGCTAGCCCTTGGAAACTGAACTTCGACGTCACTTGCTAGTTGCTGAAGGACTCGAATCGCAAGAAAAGGGGCGCAATTGACCCCGAACGTGACCGTCTTCAGCTCGTAGTCCCGTAATTCTCCTTCCTTGTTTCGGAACAGAATTCTCTGGAAAGGCGTATGTTTCGGATTAACCCAGATCTGCCGATACATTTTTGTAATGTCGGCACTAAATACGTATTGGAAAAACCGCCACTTCAAAATCTGGATCGTTAGATCAGATTGTAGGACTGGGCCAGCGTGAAGCACATCGTTCAAACTGGTCCCATTTGCTGAAGGGCTGGATGCGTTAAATACCACTCGCAGTTTTGTAGTGGTACTTTCGGGCTTAATGACCGCATGATGTGGAAGGTAGTAGGACGGAGTGTCCTGAGTCGGAGGTACTTGCCTCATGTGGTCGAGATCCAGATACTCCTGAATGACGGAGTCGTATTGCTCTTTTAACGGAAAGTCTCTTTTCAATCTATTTTCATTTCGAAGAAACTGAGCCAATGCGATGGATCTCGAGTACCCCAAACTGGACCCAGAATGCTCTGGATCGCGAAACGGTAGCGTTACCACGTATTTCCCGGTTTGGTCCCTTGTCGTAGTTTGACGGAAATTGCTTTCGCAATAGGAATCCGACTCCTTTACCATTTTAATTGGTAGATCTTCCACCTCCCAAAACTTTGTCAAAAGCTTATTTAGTTCTTGGTCTGCCGTCTCGCTGATCTGGGTTGTAAACGCGGAGACACTGCCATGGTTCGGTGTGCTGGACACTGGGCCTGTAAGCACCCAACCGAAAATGGTTTCCTGACCGAGGAGAGAGCCGCATATGTTCGTCCTTGTGCCGCTCAGCAGCACGGATGGCAAAATGTCAGCTCCGATCAGTACGTCTATTTTAGAAACTTCGGAGAACGTAGGGTCTGCTAGAGGAAGATTAGGCAAGCCAGACAGTGCTTCCTTTGGAATCGGACACGATGGAAGATTGCCTGCTAATTCCGGCAGCACATAGGCTGCTGTATTTAGCTGCAGGTCGGGTTTGGAGGGCGAACTTATCGCGAAATGGCACAGCCTGGTCGACTGTGCGGAAACGGTCTGATTCAAACCGGAGACCTTGGCGTTAATGAGACGGAATGGCAGCTTAAGGAGCCTGAATAGGCGTTCGGAAATAAAGGTCGCCTCGGAGCCCGAATCGATTAGGGCGCGAGCCCTATATTTTGTCCCGAGATGGCAAATATCCAGCATTGCCGTGCCTAGCAGCACCGCCGTGGATCCAGCTGCAAAAAAGTTTTGCACTGTTGGCGGCTGTCCGGATGAGCTGGTCGTCGCAGGTGCTGCAGGAGGTTGTGTGTTGGCCGAAACGTTAACTGTGGAATGTGGCCCAGGGCTAGGAGCGCCCCGATGCAGCAGCGTGTGGTGTCGCGCGTGGCACGTAGCACAGCTGTGTGTGCTCGTGCAGTCGCGAAGCTGATGGCCGCGCGCGAAACAATTGAGGCACAGCTGCTTCTTTTTAATATAGCTGCTGCGCGCATCCACGGACATCTGTAAGAAGCGTGAGCACAACCGGACTGGGTGATTCTCTTTCGAACACAAATCGCAAGTCTTTGGTTTTGTGCTCACTTTTGCTTCAAAGGAATTGAGTTTCTTGGGAGCTACTGGATTTCTCGAGGCTATACCGCTGATAGTCGGTTTCATGTCCTCGATGGCTTCTAAAGTCCGATATCTTTCACTGAGAAATGTATTCATTTCTTCCCATGTCGGAATATCGGACTTGGATGACAGAGACTGTTCCCATAAGGAAAGGGTCAACTTCGGCAGTTTACTGGCGCACAGGAACACCAACAGGCAATCCCAGTTCTCCGTGGAAATATTGGAGTGCGCTAGCGCTACTAAACACCCTTGTATGGTGCTCTGCAGCTCCTTTAGCGCTCGACCAGATTCTTGGCCAACCGAACTCAAGTTAAATAGAAGTTTGAGTTGGCTGTTGACCAAAAGCCTTTTGTTTTCAAACCGCTCTCGGAGCGATTCCCAGGCGGACGCGAAGCCGTCATTGGTAAGCGGGGATTTTGAAACAATCGCTTTCGCTTCACCACTGGTCTTGGAGTTAAGATGGAATAATTTCTCAACTGGTGTGAGCCTAGGATTATTCACGTAAACTGCCGTGAAGAGATCTCTGAACGTTGGCCATTTTAGATAGTCTCCCTCAAAAACCTCGGTGTCACATGGAGGTAAGCGACATCCGGAGGGAATATAGCTTGGCGGGTTCGTGGAAGTTGTGGGAGCCGTCGCTCTCTCTATTTGCTCGCTGAGGTGAGCTGCCAGAGTCTCGTATACCGAATAACAATAGTCGTACTTGTTATGGAGAACTGTACGCATTTCGGCAGTCCCCTCGCCTGCCGCCGTTATGACCTCCAGACAAGTCTCGAACTCCTTCTCGACTTTGTCCCAGAGTGACCGGACCTGGTCTCGGCGGACATTGCACGTATGCAGCGAGGGGTTGGAAGTGCCTGGACCATTAAGTCTCGCTTCGAACTGACTGAGACGATCAGTCACTGCGATAAACTTATTGAGGGCTGCCTCTGCTACGTCTGTGGACATTTTGATGGTAGAACGCGTTACCTTTACAATCGGAGTCCTACCAGACGATTTTACTTGCGAGCTCTCCTTGGAGCAGGGAGGAAGAGCTGAGGGTGACCGCGTTGGATTCACGGACGGAACGGCTAATGGTTTGTTATCGCCTCCTACTGGCATGCCAGCTCTTGCGTTTCAAGAGGGACGGTAGACTTACGGCACGGGTGGTTGCAACCCAAAAACAAACAAACAAAATCGCGATGCGAAAAAAAACCCAAGGATGCCAAGTATATTTGGAACAAAATATGCGTTGGAACCCGCGGAATGAAACGAGACGTCCGAAGGAGGAAAAACTTCAACACGGTGAAATTAATCCGAACCGAGCAATTAATAAGGCAAAAAATAAAGCCTTGGAACGCGTGGAATAGAACGTCTTAAAAATTATCTGGAGATTGTCCTGAATTAATTTTAAACAGTAAAAAATATATCAGAGAGCGTGGGATGGAACAGTCGATTTTTCTCTTTTTGTATATGTAAGGATTTTCAAAAATATATGCAGCAGCCCAAAAAACTTATTTGGTGCCGGCTTTGGATGGTTGGAAAAAGAAATAATTAATTATTGAATTAATAATTTTTATTTATTAATTTATAATTTGCTGTATTTATTTTATTAATTAATTTCTTTGATTTTCTTTTAATTTGTATGTATGGATTGGTATTATTATTTGTGTTTTTCGTATGTATGTATTTGTAATATTATCTGTTTCTCAAATTTTCCTTTAATTAATTTGCGCCTTTAGAAATATTAAAACGCAAAAAAAAATAAACGTATAATATATATATATGTATATATGAATATATAATGGATATTAGTATCAACTGGAAAAAATTACAAGAGCATGCATGGATTTGTGGATGATGTGATTAGTGGAAATATGGTGTAATTCTTATTATTCGGGATTTCTACCCCAAGTGACATATGTACATATGTGCTTGTACATATGTATATATATTTGGATGTAAAAGCACTTGGAATAACAACACACTGGGCAACAAAAAATATGTTTGCCCCAGCTCACGCACAACACTCTTTATTTCTTTATTTATTGCTCTTTGATTTTTAGTTATGCTGGACGCATAACGTGCATATATGCAGAGCTTTCGTTCCTTGCTTGCTGCTGGAAATGCACTTGGAAAACACACTGGACAAAAATATTTGCCCACACAAACAATAATTTTAATTGGGGATTTATTTTCTTTATTCTCTTTGCACTTTTCACTTGCTGGAAGAGATGTATATGTCTTTGGTATTGGATGTTATAATATATGTTATAATAATATATGTTGCTACTATAAAACGGGATGCATATATATTACTGGAAATTATATGTGTATGTAGTACTATATAAATTTAAATTTGTTCTCAATTTTAATTTTGTTGGATTTTAATATGTACATAAATGTTTTATTAATTGTGGTTTTTTTGTTTAAATGTGGACTGTATTTAGAAATGCAATTGGAAGAAAAAATTGCAATTGGAATTTATACAAGTCGCAATATGGCGATCTTATGTATATATGGATGAAATGATGTATGCACTGGAGTGTGCATACATATATGTATAAGTAATTATGCAATTGGATTAAATTTGCAATAGGAACTTGGAAATTAAACGAAGCCGCAATACGGCGATCGTTTATATATATATATGATTTTGGACTTAAGTATGCACTGGAGTGTGCATACGCATGTACATATATATATAATGGATTTTGAAAATTATGCGAAGCCAATATGGCGATCGCATATATATATGTATGAAAAATTCGTACTTATCTTTTGGAAATAAAAAACTCCGCCGGTGTGGCCGCTGGTGATTCAAATTATCCGGTCGATGGATCAAAATGTTAAGTGGGGCGGACTTCCTTCTGGATGTGGGCACTCGAAGATGAAAAAAGAATATTTCTCGCGCCGCGGTAAATATAAAGACGAAGGTTCGAATTCGGAGAAATGCACTTTATTGCCGTAGGTTAGTTTTTACACTGGTTTGATGTAATTCCAGGAGAGGGCGGCAGAGCGGTGTGGAGACAATTAGCAGACCAAGAGAGCGAGATGAGAGATCATCTGGAGAGAACTGCTCTCTGGTCTGTTAATTGTTACACTGCCATAAAGAAGTGTCCCGGACAGTCGTCATCAAAGACGACAATCTGCCCTCAAATGAGTGGCGACTCGGTAGAATCGACTCCGTCTTTCCTGGAGCCGATGGCAATGTCCGCGTAGTCGACATCCGGACGGCGCGCGGCATTGTCCGTCGTCCAGTAGCCAAAATTGTTCTCCTTCCCGGAGAGGCTCCCCAAACTTCTACCCAGTAATCCATACTTCGTTGTCCGTAGTCCGTAAGGCCCGAATCTTTCCATTATAAAACATCTTCCTGTGTTTTTTTTTTTTCATGATCCAACGCCGACATCCGTAGACATTGGCTCCGCGTAAACAGAACGCTCAAGTGTTGGAGAGCAGGCGGACTCGAGGCGGACGGGCAGTTCTGGTTAATAAGTACTGCGCAAATTGCCTTGCCCACGAGCATTCGCAAGGGGACTGCCGTAGCGGTGACCGGTGCAGAACGTGCGATGAGGAGCATCACACGCTGCTCCACATCACCGAGTCTTCCAAGCCTTCCAAAAGGGGCTCCGCTTCTCAGCAGCGTTCGCGCCGGCAAGATCCGCCAACTCGCAGAGCGCTTGCTTCTCCACCGCGCTCAGCATCCTCGACACCAGAGCCCTCGACTCGCGCAGCGCGCGCTGCTCCGACGCTGGCAACCCTCCTTCAACACCACGTCGTCAACGTCCTTCCAACGGCTTTGGTCAGATCGTGGACACCGTGGCTCTCATAGACCCCTGCTCGCCTCAAAGCTGCATCGACGCCACCCTGGCGCCCACCCCCATCCGAGCGATCGACGAGTCTGTCGTCGGCCGCTACAAGGACCTTCCGCTGGCCGACAAGCGGTTCTATCTGCCGGCGTCGATTTCCATGGTCCTGGGTGCGGATGTCTACGCCAAGGTCATCCAACCAGGATTCCACCTGGTCGCCGAGGGATTGCCGGTGGCCCAGAAGACCATCTTCGGCTGGATCCTGTCCGGCGCCTGCAACCAGGGCTAATTATGTTGCAACGCCAGCGGTTGCAAGGGGGGCGGAATGTTCAGGCCTCTCCCGCTCTCCCTCTCCCGGAGCTTCTCCCCACACCGCACTCTCCCTCTCCCGAAGCTTGGAGCATGTCGCGCTCGGCCGTCCAGGCTCTCCACTCCCCGAGCGCGAGAAGTCTCCGCTGCGCCTCCAAGCACCTAGCTTAGAATAGCTTAAGTTAGTTCCAAAACGTCATACGCTTGAATAAACGCCCGGCTGGTCCGCGCTATCACCCGACATCCAAGTCTTTCTTTCTTTCGCGATCGCCGAGTGTGGTTTTTCTCGCCCCCACAGCCTACCCCGCCAGCCATCGCTGATACCAGGAGTTTGCTGCCTTCAAGAAGGACGCCCCGCCACTTCAAGGCGAAATTAGCGAAACAAAAACGAAGTCAAGAGTCACGACAGTGCGTGCGATCAGAAGTTCAACGGTGGTGGCGCTACCAGCGGGCCGTCGATCAGGAGATACCCGGGGGTTAGGGCTTCGCCGTGGCTGGGGTCGTTGCTTAGCGCTCGGATGGGTCTCGAATTTAGCACCGCCTCCACGCTTGCGAGGAGAGATCCGAGCTCCTCCGCGGTCAAGAGGTCGTGACCGAAAAAAAAAACAGGTGGTTTCCAGACTTCACTCCTGCTTCCCATAGACCTCCGAAGTGAGGTGCTCTGGGCGGTTTGAACGCAAAGTCGCATCCTTTTTTTGATGCGAATGTTTCTACACCGCCCCCCTGCTCCTCCAGACGGGCCCGGAACTTTCTCAGGTGCTGATCTGCGCCGACGAAATTGGTCGCGTTGTCGCACCACACCTTCTTCGGAATCCCGCGATGACTCACGAACCTTTGAAAAGCCAATAAAAATGCATCATTGGTAAGGTCAGACACTAACTCTAAGTGGATCGCTTTGAACGCAAAACACACAAAAAGGCCACATATGACTTGTACGGTGGTTTACCACGGATCCAATGTGTTGTGCTAAATTGCTCACATATCGACGCAGGGAGCTCGGAGTCTGTCTGATGGCAAGTTCCTCATAATTTGCGTCAAGAGTTGCGGCTTGCATCGAAAGCAACGCATGCACGAACGAACGGTTCGGCGACATACGTCTTGAGCATTGACTAACCAGACTTTTTCTCGCAGAAGACACGTAACTATTAAGGAACTGTGAGCTTTTCGTTAGCAAGAACGGAAATTTGGCTTTGTACGGGATAGGAGCATTCAATAACCGACCACCAACTCGCAATAATGTCGAAGAGCACCAATCTAATTTATTTTCCTGCAAAAAGGGATTTAGCTTTTGAATATTCGTTGATACTAGTTTCTTTTTTCGAATTTTGCCTATGTTGTCACTGAATTCGTGAGAATGGATAACTTTTACAATTTTCTCGAACGTAAAATTCAGTTCTCTTGGCGTATTGCTTTTTTCGAAAGGCTCAGTGCCGGATCTAGAATTTCAATCTGGGGGGGTTTTCGATTGAAAAAAAATTTTAGTGTCTGTGTCTAGTCTGTGGAATTTATATGTTAATCTCGGGAATTAACTTTATATCAGTTCATATATAATAGGTCAAGTAAAAAGTAATTCATTATTTGAAGAATAGATGGCTCAGTTTTTTGCAAATAAGGACGAATGATTTTATGAGAGGGGTGTCATGAAATTATTATCAAAATGGCAATCGATTAAAAATAAATTCTGAAATAAATCGGATAATTCTAACCACAAAAAAAGCTTTGAATTTCATGTACTACTAATGGATTACTTTTTACTTGACCTATTATTTCAAATTATTGTAAAATTATTCAATGATGTTGATGATTTTTCACCCGACAAGATGAAGAGGACTTTACATACTCGGTTATTTTTTACCAGTCGATCTTAGTGCAAATAAACAACGGAAACCGGTAATTTTCAATTTCATTTCTATAACTGCTGTCTATAAGTTGAGTTCCCTAATAGGTTATTTTGAAGTAATGTATGACTAGAATAAAATATATTAAGAATAAAATGGATGTTCAACCAAACCTTAAAGAAAATGGTCAAACCAAACGTGGTGTATCGTAAGTGGACGTTAAATTCACCTCATAGTATGACCGTTCCTCTTTTTACGCTTTACAAAGCATTCAATTAAAAAATTCAATTTTCATAAAGGTCGAGAGGTTAGGTAACTGCTTTTATTAATTAATTATTTTCTATTAGAATGTCAACAAATTACATAAAAGAAATCAAAAAAAGATTGAAGTATAAAGTTTAAACGTGTCATCTACCCGTTATTGACCGTTTATTTCTAAATGAAAAATTATCAAAAAATTATTACTGATTCCATAGAATCAAATTTATACTTGTGTCATGTGTGGTTCATTTTCGAATTAACTCTACTTTATTAAATTGTACTCGTCTAATAAGTTTAATAAATGTTATTCTTAGGATACGGACGATATAGAATATGGCAAGTTTTCTGCCGAATTCGCTGACATAAGTTCGGCACAAGAATCGTCTTCGCCAACTCAGAATGATGACGACCTTCTATGTGCCGAGTCCTCTCACATCGACGCTGCTCTAAGCAATTTACAGAATAAGAAGATTTGCAACCGTGGTATCGCGACTGTCAGTCTTCGTAATTTGAGAACAAAAAATAAACTGATGCCAGCTGAGATGCTAGAAGTTATTAACAATCAGCGTTGCCAGTTTTTTTTGCCAAGTCGGGACTTAGGAACTTTTTAGTGAAAAAAGCGGGACTCTTACGTCGAGAGCGGGACATAATAAAAAACGTATGTAACCAGAAGTTTTTAAAATATTTATCTTTTTACTTCCATCCA